AAATGTTTTGACCCTAAACCCCTCTAAACCCTCATAAATAAACTCTAATAGAATATAGTTTTCCCAAACATAAATAATATAAAAATTTTTTTTTTTGAAAAAGTGACATTTTTGTAATGATTTCAAAAGTGTGGCATTTTTGTAAAGTGGCACTTGAAAAGTGGTATTTTTGAAATTTCTGTTCTATTATATGCTTTTATTATCTTACATTCTTCTGTTTTAACTACTTCGTAATTTTGAGTGTTTGTGCCCGATTATTCATATTTTCATATTTATGACTGGTTTAATCTGTCTTGGCAATATCAAACCGCTGCTGTTATTACAATGAATCTTTTTTTTAGCATATTTTATATATGTACATATTATACTTTTCTTTTTAGATAAATGATATGATGGTAATGTATCATACTTTTATATTATCGTTCTGTATTAAATATTAGTGTAACTGGAAGATTGTAGTTTCACTATAAATTGTAAATATATTTAACATTATTAAAATTTGTAAACGTGCAATGGTTAATTATGATCGTAGTTAGAAAGTAAAAAATTTAATTATTAATATATTTGAATTTTTAAAAATGATCTGAGAGTTATGTATCGTGTTGGGAGCGCTTTGGATTTTGACATATCTAATAAGGAGAGGTCCTTAACAACGCGTGGACCGTGTGGAACCAACATCGAATTTGACTTCGAAGACGCACCAGGTATACAATCTAAACTTTTCGTGAAACTCCTCCCACACTGCTCGCTTTTTTTTGGAGGTGGAAGCACGAACATGATCCCCCACATGATCATGATCCTCCACATAAAAGCCACATTCCTCCTTCCTTACATCTTCTTTGCCACAAATTATTATAATCTTAAAATTTAGAAAAAACACATCTCCTTTATATAAAAGGGAGAGAAATTCTGGCTTCTAAAAACTGCCACATCATCCAAAATATTCAGATAAATAATCAACCAATCAGAAAACAGTCCAATATATACAAATTTCGTTTTTAAACAGTTTTGAAAAAAATATCCAATAAGATTAGATCCAACCCAATAGGTTTCAGCCCAATCGATTTCTTCTTCCCTATTCTTCTCGCCGACCAGATCTTCAACCAAACTTCCTCTCAGGATTTTAATCTCAACGACTCAATTTCTCAATTCACCGTTACTTCACTAATTGTTCTGATCCTTTAATACTACTAACTAAAAGGGAATGATTATAGAAATTTCAACGCTTAGAGTTCTCTAACTTCTTCCGTTTCCAACAGCTTCTCATTTTCGTCTTCCTTCTTTGATTGCGCTCCTTTAATCTATAACTTGAATATTTTCTAAATCCTATGCATCTTCCCTAACAAATCGAACCACCAAGCTTCCAACCAAATATGTGTTCACC